TGCTTATTAGAAAAGAGTTTAATTTTTCGTACCACACTCGTGGTGCTTGTTTAAGTCCATACAAAGCTTTGTTTAATGTGAAAACATGAGATGGAAGCAAGTCATTTTCAAAACCAAGGGGTTGGTTTACGTAAACTTCTTCTAAAATTGTTCCATTTAAAAATGCGCTTTTAACATCCATTTGATACAATTTCATACCAGTGCATGCAACAAAAGTAAGTAATATTCTAATAGCTTCTATTCTAGCAACATTTGCAAAAGTTTCAGTAAAGTCTATACCTTGCTGTTGTGAGTATCCTTTTGCGACTAACCTTGCTTTGTTTCTTACCACATTTCCTGATTCATCTAGCTTGTTTCTATACACCCATTTTTTTTGCCAATTATTGTTCTATATTCTAGAGTTTGCACGAGTTTCCAGACATCATTCTTTTGAAATTGGGTGGGTTCTTCTTGCATGGCTTGGATCCAGCTATCGTCTAATAAGACTTCATCCGTGGTTTTCGGTTCTATTTGTGACAATAGTGCAATTTTTGCTTGGGTTTTGAATGAGCTTCTCGTTCTTACTACATCTTTTGCCTCACCAATGATCTGCTCTTGAGGATGATGAGCCTCCATCTTCCAGTTTCGATTAATAGGCTCTCTTTCCTCTTTATCATCTTGTTGAGCTTCCGTTCCTTCAGACTAATCTTCCTTTGACTAATTTTTATTTACCTGCATATTCTCAAAGAAGGTTCCTAGCTCTGATATTTCTTTATCAGGCTTATTTTCGTCAAATTCAATGTGAATGGCTTCTTCAACAGTTCTGGTTCTGTTGTTGAAGACTCTATAGGCTTTTAACCTTTTAGAATTTTTTTAATTTTTAGCTTCCTAGGATTAACATAAAACTTTTTTATTCTAAAATAACTTAAAAGATAGAGAAATAAAATTAATATAGTATATTAAAATATTTTTTCCTTTTTAACATTTCTAAATGTAATTACATGTCATTATTATTTTATTTTTTATTTTTTATTGAAAGTAAAATTATATAATTTTGGAGTGTGCATGACTTTGTGTAAATTTTTATTTCAATTTTTGTCTTATAAATTGCGACGGTTAGGAGGAACCGTCGCAATGTTGGAAAATTTTGCGACGGTTTTGAGAGAAACCGTCGCAATGTTGAAAAATTTTGCGACGGTTGGAAGAAACCGTCCTAATGTTGGAAACTTTTACGACGGTTTTGGGAGAAATCATCGCAATTTTGAAAAATTTTGCGACGGTTGGTAGAAACCATCGTATAAAGGGTTGCAATATCAAAGTGACAATAGTTTCAGGATAACCATCGCAATTTGTCCGTCGCAATTCATCATTTTCCTTGTAGTGAAGTACAAATATGCCTAGATTATGATTGAAGTCAAACATTGGAGTAATCAACTACAAAAAAGGACTTCACGTATACCAGCAAACATTTAATGCAAGATCAAATGCATTAAATGAGAAGATTTTCATATCCATGAACGAGCCCCCATCTGCAACGACATGAAGCTACGCTCCAACGGGAAAATTTGAATTCAAACAACGGACAGATTTACGAAATGACTATAAGTATCAAGGCAAAGAAGAAGAAGTAGTAGAACTAAGAAGTAGAGAAAACGTGCAATAAGAAAAAGAAAGCAAAAGGGTATAACCTACAGTTCTTCTCAAAGCATATACTGTATATCTGTGTAAAAACTAAGATACACGTATGACGTCCACCCCACTAAGTCACTTTCCACTTATTATTAGATCTCTTTGACTCAATGGCTCTCATGTACCATCGACATCCATCATGTGCATTTGGACATCTAACAACCCACTTAGTCTTTTTCGACTCAACCACATAAAAACTTTGATGCATTCTCATTGCATTTTGCTTTACTGCATTTTTAACCGCATCTTTATTCTCAAACGCCAACCCCACATATAAATCTTAGCCAATTGACCAAGTATTACGCAGATCCATCCCTGGGATGTCTTCTTCATCGGCATGATTCCAATTGATGTTAGTGTAGTGGGGTAAATTACCCCAAAATTGACTTCCACCTATAATAATGAATTTAGTAATTTCAATAATCAATTTCAACAATTTATTTTAAACAAATAACAAATTATTGACAAATTTAATTTTTAGATGTTACCTTCAGTAGATGGATACATTGAAATTGGTTCAACCATTGGACTATTAATATGATGATGAAACATGATAGTCTTCATCTTCTTCGTCATCTTCATCTTCGTCTCTTGTGATCAAAGGTGATCGTTCAATTGACAAATTTTCTAATGAAAACGTAGAAGATTCTTGCATACCTATTTCAGCATATAATTCCATTATTGGCATCACATTCTGGCTCTGAAATGCTTCTATCATGCATTATACATCATCATCGTCACTCAATTCCAATGAAGAATATATGTTGTTATCACCTTGTGAAACTAAAAATATGTAACTTACAGATAATACCACTTGATTTGAGTTAAGACTAAATTTGTTGTGAATCCTTCTCTTTAATATATCCAAAGTGATACCTCGTTTAATATACATTCATTTTCTTGGTCCATCAAATGTTACACCTTCAGCACCTTCATACATCTTTCCAGTGTAAATATAAGCAATCATTTGATCCATAATATCTGTAACAAAAAAATTAATTAGTACAAATAGCTACAATTTATATATTAACAAAAACAAAATTATACTCACATATTTCAATCAGAAACAAACGTAACTGGCTTACAAATTTAAATCAGAGCAAAACGTAACTGTTAAATATTTGATTCCAAATGGGAAAAAAACATAACTAGGAGGGGTGTCTATATACTGATAGTGCCGCTATGGGCCATAGCGACACAGTGTCGCTATATGCCATAGTGCCACTTTTAAAATTAAGAAAATTACATAAAAAGGAATAAAAATTGATTAAAATTAAAAAATACCAGAAAACATACATTTATAAATATAATGTTATGTCAAATGAATAATAAAAAATAAAATTTGTATCAAATAATTTAAGTTAATAATTAAAAAAAAAACATTAAAAGCTGGTGGCGCTATGGGCCATAGCGACACAGTGGTGCTATGGGCCATAGCGACACAGTGTCGCTATAGGCCATAACGCCACTTTTTAAATTAATAAAAAAACATAAAAACGAATAAAAGCTGTATAAAATTAAGATATTATAGAAAACATACATTTATAAATATAATCTTATGTAAAAATGAATAACAAAAAAAAAATTGTAAAAAAAAATTTAACTTATTAATTTAAAAAAAAATAAAAAAAAGGTGGTGACGCTATGGGCCATAGTGACACAGTGTCACTATAGGTCATATCGCCACTATTTAAAATATATATAATGTTATTTTATTTACTTATTTTTTCCACAATTTATTTTAAATTATTTTTAATATATTATAATTTTATTTTAATTATTCAGTTTGTTTACTTTGAATTAAAAATATATAAACGAATAATTATATATAAAACGTGATTATTTTGCAAAAAAGTAATTTAAAATGCAAGTGTCGCTATGGGCCATAGCGCCTCTATTAAAAAATACATTAAATTTATTTTAAAATTACATTTTTAAATAACTTAATTTTATCTTTATAAATATATAATAAAATAAGTCAGTTTATTAATTTTATTTTACATTTCTATTATTTTTCTTTTTTTTCTTTTTTTTTGTTAGAGGGTGTCGCTATGGGCTACATCATTTTTCTTAGTGCATCAACTGTGTTGGCCCAGCCCATAACGACACTCATGTGGCTCATTCCAGTCCACTCTTCACCAAAAAAAAAAAAAATTGCCACGTGTCATTGATGTTGCTATGACCCATAGCGACACCATTGTAAACAGTCTCAAAGACGTAAATACTTTCAAAAGAGCCTCATCTACGTAATAAACTTGTAAAAGGACCCTAATTTGGTCAAAAAGCCCAATCTATTGGGTTCGGTTGCTAAGGAAATGAGTACCCAACTATACATCGATGTTGGAATTTCTGTTCATTACTTTGATGACTTCATTCATGTCCCAAGGTGGGCGGCATGTAGGTTTAAGGTCGGTTCTCCATGCTCCAAACCCTACTTCTAAATTAATATAGTGTTAATATTAAACTTATCTCAAAGCATAGTTAATATATATATATATATA